ATATGGCTTTACTTGATATAAACAAGACGGCGAAAAATCTCTTATTATTATTACTTATTAATTATTATCATTATTATTATCATCTTCAGCCCATACAGGCAATTTCTGGTTACATCTTTATTATTATCGCTCTTAGATATTGGTCGGAATAATTTAAGATCGACAAACCAGCTGATCAGAGATACCTTTGCGTTTATCCTCGCCAGGCTGAAGCTTTACCTCTACGAACACGGGAGGGGATAAAATGTCAGACTAATATTAATATGAGTGCAAGTCACTTAGTCCTGCAACTTTTTATTGGTCATGTAGATCCTCAAATCCTATGTAATACCAAAAATATTATAGCCAAATAACTTGATTTTGTCGTTGTTGAACTGGTTACAAAAGATTTCTATAAAAATATAGTGAAGAAAAAAATTTATAAATGCACACTTGTGTAAAAATAAAAAATTTAAAATAAACACAAACCTTTATTATTTTTATTATACTTTGTACAACTCTTAATCCATTAATTGTTTCGAATGATGATGAACCTTTTGATTGATCATCATCATCATTATCAACTTTATTCGATTTTTTTCTGATTGCTGGTTTGTCCAAAATAAGATTTAGAGCTGATAGGATATTAATCAATGAATATCTAACACAACATAGAGATGTTCTTTCTAAATATATGATCAATAAAATAAAATAATTAAATAAAGTTTATAATTATCTTAAACAAAGTTTTTGATAAGGAACCTTCAATATCTATTTCTGAAATGGCCATTTCAAATAACTCTTTATTATTATTATTTTCATCAATTAACAATTCAGATGCTGATATTATTCCATAAACTATCAATTTTCTTATCATAGTATCTAATAAAACATAGGCTTCTTCCTCAACACTATTTGCAAGCACATAACAAAATGCCAATGGTGCTACTTTTCTAAAAAGATTACGTAAATATGGTTTTGAAGCATTCTGATTATTATTTAATGCCTTATGATGGTAGTATGTTATTATCATTAATTAGAATTACGAGAGAGATTATAATAATATATGAAAATGTTATTATTAAAAAAGAATTTTTGCATACCAACACAAATTTCTCACACCAATAAGAGGAAACTTGACAAGCCTCTAAAAATAAAATCAACTGCTTCATCTTTTTAACTTGATTTGATAAAGTCACGCCAGATTTCTTTACATTATCCTCATCAGATGGTGATTCAGTGTATTCTTTATCTGAAAAATTACAAAATGAAAAAAGTAGTGATGGTATTGCGGGTTTTGATATATCAAAACCAAAGCATGATGAACAAATTTCAAAGAATTGATATAGATAAAGTTGAGTTGCCCAATCTATGTTTATTATTGTTATAATTTTTGTTAGTCATATAATATTAATAAACAAATCGAGGTTTAAACTTACTATAATCCTTGGAATCTTTATATAATTCTTTAATCGAATTAACGTTAGAACGATGGTACTCTAATAAAATATATTTAATAAGTTAATTAACGCAACAATGATTTAAAACACATTGTTAAAATACAGACCATTTTGATCGTAATCTTGTGGTAATGAAATGAAATACTCTGTCAATAATCTTAACAACTCTTTCAGTAAGAAATGAATATCATCAACAAGTGTTATAGATATTGATGGTGACGATGACAATAATAATTTACGTTGATCAAATAATCTAATTAAATGATTTAACAATAAAAGAGGTTCTGCCCTAATCAACCACCAACTTTCACCTAATATTTTTATAAAATCTGTTGTTGTTGTTGTTGTTGCTGCTGTTGTTGTTGTTGCAGAAGGAGAAAAAAACAATAATGATTTAAGTGTGGTAATTGATAAAGTCAAAGAATATTTTCTTTTACTGATTTGTGATGACAATATGGGATTGGAAAATTGTAAATAGGGCAGTACACAATATCTGATATATTCAAGTAAATCTATGATTACTATAACATCATCTTTGCTTTTACTATTAATACTACTCCATTCACCAATTTCACCAATTTTTAATTCAATTGCAGGTTTTTTTAAATTCTTTTTATTCATCGTTGCTTGAATAATAAAGTCAATCAAATTCTTTTGTTCTTGATGCGTCAAACCATCTTCACTTTCATCAATTGTTGATAAAATATCTTTCAACACTTGAATAATAATAGCTGGAGATCTTGATGCTTGGTTATACCAACACAAAGATCCAAGTTGATTTATGATATCAAGTATTACAATGCCTTGTCCTTTATTATGTATAACCTCACCAATCAATCTATGTAATGTATAATATGGGGACACAACTGATGTCTTTTTATGAAAAATAATAAAAAATCTATTTAATAAATAAATTTATTATTAATATCTATATAACGGTTAATTTAATTAAACCTTGAAAGCGTCTTACAATGATCAAAGAATCAACCATTTTAGCTTGAATATTATCTGCTTTATCGATTATTTCTTTGGATTTTGATGTGGCAATCAATTGATTGCAAATTATAGTAAGTTGATCATCTAAAGAAAATGGCCAAAATTTCTCTGATCCAAATGTTGGTGATTTAATATTCATTGAAGAAGGTCTAAGTATCGATTGTATTAATTGAAAATGAAATTAATAATATCCTCAATAATTAAATAAAAATTTATAATATTAAAATATATATTACCGATCAGATATTATATAATCTCGAAATATACATTTCATATGATGTGATAAAAAATCAAAACCTTTGAGCAATATGTTAATTTCTTTCTAATGCGCATATATATATGTGTGTGTGTATGTATTTAATAAAAATTTAATATTAATATAATATTTTAACAAAAACTTTATGATCATGATTTTAATAAACTATTACCATCACTGAAATATTTCCTTGAGAACTTGACCTTTTAGCTAATCTTTTTATACTTTGATATAATTCGATTAGTAAACCATGTTCAACTATTAACTTCGAAAGCAATTCAATATCAATATCAATTCTAAAAAAAAATTATTTAAATAAATAAATGAATGAATTGAATAAAATAATAATCATTGTTATCAGGAGAAAAAAAATACCTTGGGAATAAATCAATATACTGTATCATCAATTTAAAGAGTGACAACCATCCAGGTCGACCAACTTTAACACTTTCCATAACCCATTTGCAACAAATTTCCAAATCTTTTTTTTTAAATAAAGAAGAATTCATCTTATAGGACAATTCAGAATCTTCTAACCAATTAACAAATGAACCATCATATTCAAAATTTTCATATAAAGAATAACATATATTGACAAAAGCTAATTCGTGCGTTTTAAGGTCTACCACATCGCCTCCATCTAAATTATTGCTATTGCTAATATCCAAATTATTAAATTTTTTTTGTTTTGCCTTTTTCATTTTTTTATAAAGCTCTTTATCATTATGTAAACTATCAAGGAACATTAGTAAATAACAATAACAACAATAATTGTTATTATTATATTTAAATTATAGATCATTTACCATTTTGCTAGCCTAGTTGATATTTCTTTTGAATAACTTTTCTAATTAAAAACAAATAAATATCAATTATCCTATTTATTTTAAACAATCTTTTTTTTTAAAAAAAAATAATTACCTGGGATCTTGTAGAAATATTATATTTTTCAAGATCATATTGATCAATATATTCCAAAAATTCTTTTAAAGAATCATTTTTTTTCAATATCTTTTGATAAAAGTCTAAGTAATAAAATAAAATAAAAATAAGGATTAATCGAATTAATCGAATTAATCAATATATAATCACTAGATGAACATTTACCTGATGATTTGAGATTTATTACAACATTTTGAGTGATAAAGGATTTTGCCAATCTTAGTTGAGTTGATTGATACTCATCATAATCTTCTTTGAAAGGAAATGCTATCTCATCAATGAAATTTATAAGTAAGTTTAATGTTTTATAATTGTTTTGTTTCTTCCTATTTGCATCTAATTGTAAATCTTCTATTGTGCTAATTGAAATTAATTTTCATTAATTATACAAATACAAATAAATAGTTGATCAGTAAAAAATTAGTAATAGTAATAATAATATTATTATTAAATTAATTGATTAATAAGATTGAAATCATTATAATAAAATTACTTTAAATGATAGTTGATCTTCTTTCTAATTTCCAAAGTTTTTGAATTTTCATAATTTATTTTATGTAAAGTTGTATAATTATTTATTGAATTTTTTCTAAAATCATTATAATAAAATGGAGTTGAAACCAAATTGTTCATAACTATTTGACAATTATTATTGATAATGTTAGTTGTAGTCTTTCTATTTATTGATGGTGATGATGATGATGGTTGATAATAATTATCAAGATCATTAAGAATGTTTTTTCCAGATGTCATGAAATATAAATTATTTTTGAAATGATTAGCCATAGAACGAAATAAATCAAGTTGAGTTTCTTCATCTATTATATTAATATATTAGAGAAATTTAATATAAAAAATTATATAACCTCTTTGCAATTTTTTTTTTGTAAATATATGAAAACTAAAATTATTATTACCAATGATATCATTATAATGGTATGATAATAAATTTTGAATAAAATCAATTAAATCGTGTTTTTTATCACCATTAAGACTATTTGAAACATTAAGTGATGGTATTATTACATGTTTAATTCCATACATTGGATTACTGGAAACTATTTCATTGATTATCTTGATAACATTCTAGTATAAGAAAACATTAGTTAATTAATAAATGATTAAAGTGTAAATATAAAAATATATTATATTATATTTATATCAATAATAATATTAATATTACCAAACGTGGAATCATATATAAGGTTCTAATTAGTTCCTGATCTAATTCCAACAATTCAATAAGTTTTGTATAAAGCTCAGAATTCAATTGAAAGATAACATCTAAATTTAATTCTCTGTGTTGATAAGCACCTAAATAATAATACCAAAGAAATACATAATCAATCAACTAATCAAGAGATAATAAAATTATGTAAAAGAATATCAGAAGAACCTTCTGGATTAAGATAAAGTTGCCATATTTCAAATATGATTGAATGTACAATAAATTTATTATTGTTGATGGTATGACTTGATGACGAAGAATAAATTAGTTTTTGTAATGGCTCCTGAAGAACTTTACAGGCTTCTTCTCTTTTCATAAATAAATCATTAATATAAACAATAATTATCAATTTTAATTGAACTTTTAATTATTAATTATTTTTTATTAAAAAAAATTCTCATTACAAATCATAATGTTTTTCTTCTTCAAAACCATCAAAGGCACTTGTAATATCGCTCTAATTTGAATAAAAAAATTGATAACAATAATGTTATGGTTGTTATTTTACATACAAATCTATGCCTATTAATTGAAAACATACTTTAAAAATATCGAATAAAGACATCCTTTGATAATTAAAAAGATCTCGTATTTTTTTGTTTGTATAACTCGTTGATTACGTAACACGAATGGTAATCTGCAAATTAAAAATGAAAACATT